AAAAAAAAAAAAAAAAAATTAATCACACAATAAAAATATAACTAATCCTTATAGATACGTCTAGATAAAACATTTTTGCAATATAAAAGTTCGTGACTTGAATAAATGTATGAACGGGTAAAAGAAAAATGGAGTTATAATTTTTTTAGTTATCACCTATGCCATCTATATCTATATAAATATAAAAAGGTTTGGCATTTACTTGAAATGGAAGGAGAAATCCCGCCTAAAATTTATAAGTTACTAATATTGGTAATTTTTTTGAAAAATCCCGCCAATAAAACTTTAATTTTGAATTTCAATTTTTTTTTATTTATTCTAAGGTAATTTTAATCTATTATAGAAATATATTTGTCTACTAATATATCACCATGTTCATTACAATTAAAATCTTCAACATTCCATATTAAATAATAATCAGTACAATCAATGAATTTGAGAATAGAATAAATCAAATAAGGTACGTGACTATATTTTTCAAAATAATACAAGTAGGTAAGTTGTTTTATTTAAATATAAATTAATTTCTTTTGCCTTCAATCAAGTACCATGTTATTTAGGCATGTTTTGTTTATTAACATAAATTTTTAATTTACATATTTTGTTTCCTAATCATTCTATAACATAAAAATGAAAAAAGAAATTAGAAAAGTCTACGTAATAATATTTATAGTTTAATATGATTATAATTTAATAAGATCATCTCTAATCTAAGTGATAATTTAAAATATAATTAGTTTATTTCTCCATTCATTTCCAAATACTGCCTTAGTTAGTGAATCTTATCTCTTTTTTTTTTTGAATTATTTATTAGTGAAGATATTTAAATTATAAATTCAAATATTTCCAAAAATCAAGGCCAAATCTTATGCCAATTTTTTTTTTAAAAAAATAATATTGCTTTAAGGATATGTATTAAATTTTATCTTGATTCTTTTTCAATATAGACATAGTTAATTGTTTGTATATTTATTTTTTTACAATTTGATTAACTATGATGTTTAAACTGTAAATCATTTTTTTTAAAAAAAACATCAAGGTCTTTCTTATGAAAAAAAATATATATATATATATTTTAAAAAATATTGCCTTCCAATGAATATTAAACTAAAAAGATTTTGAAATGGATAAGCTTATGTATTAATATCGGTATCCATGGAAAAAAATAATTGAGCCCATTTATTTTTTTTATACAAAAATAAAGAGATACAACAAATGTTCGTTCTTTAGTTTTATGGATAATATCAAATCATTTCAAATTTTAATAATGTACGTAAATAATATTTCAAAATTTTGGATAATATCATTCTAACCTTCCAATCATCTAATATCCATTCGAGATCTTTTTCTTTCACCTATTCAATCGACGTCCAATTTGCCAATAAAAACAGCATACACACTTTGAGTTGTTATTCCATCACTACTCATCAAAAATCAAGAAAAACATAAAGAACAAATAAATATCCTGGTATGATGAAAAAAATGTGAGGAGTCATGAAGAAAAAGTTAAAAACACCATCAAATAATATTTTTTGTTATTGTGAGGTATAAGTTTTATTTTGTATAGGTATGAAAGTCGAATTTTAGACTGATTTGTTATAAAATCAATGTGATATGATTCTCAAATTTCAACATATTATTATAAAAACTTATCATAAGATATTGATGATAATTTGACAAATTAATATGTATTCTCTTGAAAATCAGAAACATCTTTGAAGAAATACTGATTAAGTATAAATTTGAGTTTCAAATTTAAGAGTCAAATAAGTAACTATTCATAACTTACGGGTCAATATTAACTTAGGCGTAAATGAAATAGTCAATTATTTATAGTTTAATAAATTACTCAACTACTTATTTTTTTTTTTTTTTTTTGTTTTTGAGAGTTTATACAATAATAAATTATTTTAATTAATGAACAATATAAGTTTTATAGTTATACTAATTATTCACATAGATTTTTAAATATATGATAAAATTTTACCAAAATAATTATTTTATGAAATCACATTGTAGTCAAATCATATTTATTTATAAAAATTTTAAGATGACACTTATTTTAAAATGATATAATGTAATTTATTATCAGTTATGCGCACCATACGAGTTGTGTACTATTTTTAAATCGACATGCTTTAAAATGATACTTATTCTGAAATAAATATAATATAATTTATTATCAGTTATGCGCACCATACGTGTTGTGTACTAATTTTTAAATTGACATGTTTTATGTAATTTTGCACGATATAAAATTTGTATAACATTTTCAATTAATTAATATAGGTAAATTGTATTACATATTGGTTCCATATTTTTAATTTATAAGTATTATTTAATGGCATTTTTAATAAATATAACGAATATCTCTTACCCGTGCATCGCACGAGATTCGTACTAGTTGATATACTCAAAGAATTATGTGTTTATCATATTTTTTACATAAAAGCGTCGAAGAACTAAAGTAATATCAAACCAATGTATGATAAGTTGTATTCTTTTATTATTAAGTGAGATAATCTATACTTTTTCATAATAATGGGGTATAGTTGGATGAGTCCAACAAAACAAAAATGAAAATATTTTGCACCAAATGAGACAACAAAAATCGAAATAAAATAAACTAAAATATATTATTGTGCATCAAATTAGGGATGAAAAAGATCGGAAACGATCGGCATAGGGCTCAACCATTTTCACTTTCATATTTTTTTCTCGAAAACGAAAATGATACGATAATGTCGGAAACGAAAACGATATTGGTATTCCTGTAATATCGAAAACGAAACTATCTGATAGAAAATATATCGATAACGATCGAAATATATTAAAACGGTATTTAAAAAACGATAAACACACCACATTATAAAATATAGCATTAAAACATTAATTGAAATATTCTCATGGCATAATAGTAGCAAAATCCAAATTAAAATCCACACCATTTGCTATAGCAAAATCCATATAAATTCCAATAAGTAGCAATTGAATTGTGACTTGTCCACCAAATTCTCATGGAATAATAGTAGCAATCGAAATTTGAAACATGAAATGGGAGCAATTAGGTGAGAAATCAACCATGGAACCACCAAATCCACAAAAAAACCACAACAAATTTCGAAAATGTGAGCTTTATAATTAAAAGTGAGCCTAGTATGGGTTGGGTCGATATTACCGACGGTAAAATACTGTTTAAATACGGTAATTTTCGACCGTTTTCGTTTTCATTTTCGAATTTTTTTACCATTTCCATTTCCGTTTTTTCGGTTGCCGTTTCCGTTTCCGTTTCCGTTTAGCCTCCAAATCCGAAAAAATTTCGAAAACGATTCCCGGTAATCAGAAATTACTGTTTCCGTTTTCATCCCTACATCAAATGGCACAACCCAAATTTCCATAAGATAATAAATACAAGCATTTTTAAACCCGGCCAGTTAATCGATTCGGGCAGGTCTCTGGATCATCAGGTCACCAGTTTAACTGTCGGGTTATCGGGTCAATTGTTGAACCGGATATTAATTTTAAAATTTTTAAAATTATATATACAATATTTCTGTCATATAAATATACATAAAAGTAACAAAATTAAATATTTTGTATATAAAATTTGTATATTAAAGTATTAATAATAATTAATATGTACTTCATGATAATATTTACCATATAAACATATTATACATAGTTTTATTTTTAGAAAACAAAAAATAAATAAATATATATGGGCCGGGCCAACCGGATTGACGCGGCTGGGTCAATGCACCGAGTCAACCGGGTTTTAACCGAGTCCTTTGTTACCGGATCTAAATAGTCCACCCGGACCGGTTTCTGCTCCGGGTTGACCGAGTCCCGGGTCGACCCACCGGGTTGGTCCGGGTCAGAAGACTATGAATAGAAGTCTATTTAAGCCAACGATAAACCTCATAGAGTTATTCAGCACAATGAACTCCATAGGATTTCACTCAAGATAGGTTTTTCTCCAAATTCCAGCTCCAAACTCGAACCAGCTGAAACAGTTGCATTTTTTGGAAACAGCAAAAATGTCATCTTCGTCGAACTTGTGGGTTTTGCTCGGCCTCGGGATTGCCGGAATATTGATTATGACGAAGAAGCTCAAGCGGGTTGTGAAAGCTGATTTTGGTGCGTTTATAGAGCGGCTGCAGCTATTGCCTCCACCCCAGCCTGCGCCTCCTAAAGCACCCCATCCTCTTACCGGACTTTCTTTCGCCGTCTCCGACGTGTGAGCATCCTAAATTTCAGTTTGAGTGGTAGAATTTGTTTAATGTTTGGAATTATAAGGGGTTGGTAGTTTATGAGTAATACTGTTGTATTTCAATGGGATAGTAGTTTTTGTGTTTTATTTTGTAGTGCTTGTGTGTTTGAATAGTTTCGCGTTTGGTATGGTTTTTGCGTTTGCTCATTGAAAATAGTGAAAAGAGAGTATCTATGGTGCAGGCTTTGCTGGTATTGGACTGGCTTAGTTTTGTTTGGTTCCACCACTTTGTTGTATTAGACTAGCCTTCTAGTTACTATGGAGTAAATTCAGTTTGATGATTTACGGATTTGACAACGAGTATCGGCTTGGATTCATTGTGTCTGTTTTCTCTACTAGTGAAGGAAAATTGAGGATAAATTTCTCTTATAGGACACTGGATAGGATTATGAGTGTAATACGTGTAGTTGAGGGTTTGAAGTTTGCATTTGGTTTTATCTTACCTAAAATTTTTTTATTGCTGCTTCCTTGGATTCCCTATGTTCCTGTTGCATGAGCTCAATAGCCGTAGTTTCAATTTTATTGACAGATTTAACATCGAAGGATTTGTTACTGGATTTGGCAACCCAGACTGGTGTAGGACTCACGAGGCTGCTACTCATACATGTCTTGCTGCTGCAGCCCTTGTGGATGGAGGTGCCACATGTGTCGGAAAAACCGTTGTGGATGACATGGCACTGGGGTCGTTACTTATCCTCGCCCTGCCTGTTAACATTTCAGATTTCCAGCATTAGTGCAGACATTTTTTTCACAATTTTTTTTTTTTTTAATAAACATTCTGCCTCCTTTTATTACAGTGTTAGTGGAGAAAGCAAGCATTATGGTACACCAACTAATCCTGTCTCACCCAAAAGAATACCAGGAGGAGCCTCCAGCGGGGCTGCTGTAGCAGTTGCTGCTAAACTTGTTGATTTTTCTTTGGGTGGGTTTCTGCTTTCCATCGAAATGTTTCTCGCCTTGCCTTGCCTTGCCTTGCCTTATCAGTCTAAGAATGTGATAGGTTGACAAGTCTTATTATTGCATCTTTAAGATCATATGTTGCATAATTACAATGACAGGTTCTGGCAGAACATGAGATCTATCCTCTTCTAAGCCTCAGTTTGCATGCTTCATGAAATTAATGTTGGAGAAATTTACAATTCTGTTCCGTGTGAGATTTTCTTCAAAAATTAGTGGATAGAGTTGTGCGACCACTCCTAGTAATATGCATTGGTGCTTAGAAGTGACCTTTATTCCGCATAGGTTCTTAGTATTATCATTTTTTTATGTATATTTTGACATTGGGGGAGGGATAGGGTAAATGAGGACAAGTATATGAAAGTTTTGGTGTTGTCAAACTTGTTGCAGATTTCAGTAGTATATCTGCTCATCCTTCAAGCTACACGTACTATCCCATGATGCTTGGACTCATTAAATAATCTATTCTGGTCCAATGCTTTCTGTCACGATTTGGCCTCAAGAGGATTAGCATTAAAATGTCAATCAGTTCATTGTGGTCAAAGTGAGTGTATTTCCAGAACTTTTCAGGAGTACTTTCATTTGGGATGGGACATAATATCCCTACATTGATTATCCGAAATAAATTTCCTTATGTTTGATAATATCATGTTTAACCACTGCCCATTGTGATTCCTTTTCTTCTGGCAAAAAGGAATAACCATTGTTCTAATGATGCTGCCAGTATGTGATAGTCGTAGAATTTTTTAATTTAATACATTAATAATGTAAGAGATGCGTGTTATTGCTGCTTTTCCTTTTGACTTGGCACATAATTGTTTAAGCTACACCCTTTAAAATATTTATCAATGTATGGAACCAAGTATTCTGTTTCTTGTGTAGTTATTTGTATTACACACTAATGCATGTTTAACATACTGCGTATGCCAGGCATAGATACGGATGGTGGTGTGCGATTGCCTGCTGGATATTGTGGCATACTAGGATTTCGACCGTCTCATGGGACAGTCTCCCTTTCTGGGTTAACTCCTGTTTCTGGGAGTCTCGACACCGTAGGTGTGCATGTCAATACTATATCACCAAAATTTTTAGATATTTGAAACTTGTGACGTTGTCATATAACTTCTGCAGTTTCTTTTCTGTAATGATGCTTTCAAGTTCTTGCATTAATTTTGTGTGAGCTTTTATGATTTTTTCTTGCTTATATGGTGGTGGTAGTGGATGGGATGAAGATTGCCAAATTTCTTTGCTGCTCAAGAATCGTGGCAATTAGCTTTACTTGCAAAGTGACTCCCAGCATGAAATAGCAAGAGTTAAAAATGCTGTAGACACACTGAAAGATGCTAGGAATTAGGAAGATTTCTTGCTATTGCCTCATACAAGTTGGGCATTTGAAGAGCATGTTTGTTTATGGAAATTTTTGGTTTTGTTAGATTTTTTGGTTTGGTTTGGTTAGTTTTGGAAAAAGTGGTATGGTTAGTTGGTAGTGGATATATTAAAATAATATTTAAAATAAAATAATTAAAATTAATTTAATGTAAAAGTAGGAGAGAGATGATTTGATGTGATGGTTAGTTAAAATATTGTGAGTGGATGAATAGTGAATTAAGGTTGATGTGGTGTATATGAATGATTGATTGATATTATTTAATTATATTGATAATATTGAATAGTGGGGTTGAGTTAAAAAAAATGGTTGAGTTAAAATGATGGAAATTTTTTGAAAATTTTCATAAACAAACATGCTCGAACATCCAGAAACAGTGCTACTATTTTTCACATTTATGTCAAAAAGTTGCTTGTAATGTGAAGGCATCAGTATTTTCTTTCTCTAGGGTGCATCATAACATTTATTGTTGTTTGTGCCTTTGTGTTATAATATTTAGGACTCATTCAAACACATAATCCTTGGATCTTTCTTGCCATTAGGATTAGTGTCATGAATTTTTACAATTTCAGCTCATTGTGAAATATGATATCTAGTCATGCAAGTGCGTCAAGTATAGTTTTTCCCATATTTTTATTTCAGATCTTTGAATTTTCAGGTTGGTTTGCAAAGGATCCTAGTGTACTTCGCCGTGTTGGCCATGTGCTGTTGCAGGTTCCATATTCTGCTCAACGCAACCCTAGGAACATTGTGATAGCAGATGACTGTTTCCAGTCATCAAAATTTCCAGCAGACCGCATTACTCAGGTGGTGATAAAATCCATCGAGAAACTTTATGGAAGTATGTCTATTCTTAACGCCTGCTGTAAATTATTAGTGTTATTCTTTCAGTTGTGCATCGATGTTTGTTATCCTGGATTACTTACTAGACTCACCTTTCAGGACAAGTCTTGAGGCATCAAAATCTTAGTGATTATATAAAGTTGAAGGTTCCAAGCTTAAGTAATATCAATGTGGGACAACTGAATGGTGAAGGGAAATATTCTCCTGTTGTATTGCTGGCAAATGCCATGCAGCAGCTTAAGAGGTGAGGTTGTAGTACTGAGGAAATTGGCACAGTAATGTGAATGGGATCTTTTTTCGTTCTAGAAAGAGTGATTTGCCACATGCAATGCAACTGACTTTTACTATGTGCTTTTCTTTTTTATTATTTAAACTCATGCTGTTCCAATTAACTTTCTCCTGGCTCTGGGTATATATTCTACTGTACAATCTGACCTACTTTAGTCGTCAAAATCTGTCAGCTATTTTCTTTTCCTGGAATTGAATGACTTTTTTCAATTTAATTGATTACATACGGATGTGTCTTTCTGTGGCGCATGTGGGTTATATTTGTAAAACATCTTGATATACGATGATGCCTCCTGTTATATAATTTGGCATACAGGTGCAAGTTTTCCTGCGGCATAGGCACAGTGATTATGATGTGGTGTTAGTTCGTATAGCCAAATGTGTTCATGTTTGTATGGACCCTTGCATAGTTCACCAAAATGGCTGGCTCATGATATAGGGCCGTATTGTTAGGTATCGTAATAGTGGTGTGCAAGATGCTTTAGTTGACTTTTCATTCCTGCGCTCCACATATTTTTTCATTAGTAGTACCAATGGGACTGGACTATAGATAAGAGGTTCGCAATACACTGAAGAAAAGGGATGAGACGTTTTGTGGTCAATGGACCTGGTGATAAGAGTGAGACAAGAAAAAAATATGAACAGATTAAGGAGCCCTACCATAAGAATTGGATCTCATTATACATCACATTGTCACCACCCTCCCTCAAGATATCACAAAATAATGAGATCAACATGTTGTACTCTACATGTTAGTTTAGACATGGATTTCTTACATGAGGACAAAGTAATGAAATCTTGCTTGATTTGGTCCCGAGTGAAGTAACTCTTTGCTGTTTTTTTGCAGGCATGAATTCAGAGAAAATCATAATGAATGGATCAATTCTGTAAAGCCTACTTTGGATCCTATTATCTCAGCACAAATATCTGAAGATTTAGATTCGACTGATGCAGACGAAGAAAAATATTACGCCATTAGGAGTGAATTGCGTTCAGCTATAAATGCCCTTTTAAAGGTATTAATCTAGCACGCTTTCTCTTTCACATGGTAATCTTTGGTGGTGTATCCTTTCATATTCTTGACAACTTGTGCATGGCCACTTGATCAGATTGATTAATTTATTTCCTTTTTGTATTTTTTTTTTTTTTATTTCTGATTGCT